TTACATAAACATTTTCAACTGCAGAAAAGAAGGAACACAAACCGTTTAAATGTTGAACTACCTTGGAAAAAATATTCAACTTATGCAAACAAGATCAAGCAAGGGTTTTATGCAAACAAGATCTTGAAATCCTTACCTACAGAAGGTCATTCGAAAGGTTCTGTAACTTTATGCCAATCTGCTCTGTCTTAAATAGCAAGTAAACTATTCCTATTCAAATGAATAAGCGTTTTAATGAACGTATTAATTCCCTTAAAACCTATAGCAAACGATATTAACGAAGTGTATCAGAACGTACTAAATTTGTGAACATTTGCAGTGCATTTTCTGAAATTTCGAAACGATATTTTCTTCCAAAGAATGATCTAACTTTCGAAACATCGCCATAAATCTGTAATATTTGAGATAAATTTGAAGAACATTTAAGACAGACATTGGATGAAATAAAAAAAAACATAAGATCTACCAATGGAATCAACATTTCATCATTTTCATGTAATGGTAAAGGAGAATATGTTTGGACAATGGATTCCCTAGCCTCTTTCTGTGCTATAGAAACTGCAGTGGTTTACCATTTGTACCCACATCTCTTTAAAATCCAAAACATTCTACCAAGTGGATCAGATCTTTGGATCTTGGATACCTCTGAAAGATGTTTTTAAATGCGATATATACAAAACCTATGCTATACAAAATTATCATTTTGAAGCGAGAGTGTTTACTATTCCTCATACTGGAAGAAATAGCAAAGCCATTTATAGAAAAAGGTTTTCTTTTTATTTGTTTGGGATGAACAGTTGTAATTTGTTACGAATTGTTCACATTCATCGAAGCTCTGACAAACTCTGACATCTGCTGCTCTACATTTATTAGATTGACTGCAAAACTTTACCTGTAGTGATCTTTAAAATTGGAGTACTAAAATTTCATGGTAAAGAACGGGTTCATTCTTAATGAAGCACGCGGTAAAAAATCAGGAATGACTTTTCAAGCTCCTATCTCACTAGCCTTATAATCCAGACATAATTGCTTCATTTACCGTTTCTTACAATCAATGGAATATTTCTCAATGAATAAAATATCTAAACAGTTGATAGCGTGTAATACTATGTTATCGATTAGTATTTGAATTCTAAAAGACATGGAATTTACATAAATGGTATGAACAATCTAGCTTCAGATAAACAAAATTTGTAGACATTGACGGTGATTATACTAACCGATCAATTTTAAGTTTTTGCTAACGAAGTTACTTCATAATTCACGAATAACGAAAAGATGTTTGTAATGATATTTAATTTATAGCTGATGAGACAAACATAAACAGAAAAGTACAAATTCAATAATTTAACAAGTAATACATACCAGAATGGTGTGATTTTATTTGAAATGCACAGAAAGACACGGGAAATCTTTAATGACCGAAACATGTATTGCCAGAATATTTATAATTTTCCACGGCAAATGGCTTTTAGCGTTCTCGGAGACCTTGCACTATTAACAGTCTTTGTGATGATCATTCCGAGTCATCCTCAAGATGTATAATTACAGAACCCAAAACGTACAGTAAATGAAATCTGTCGGTGCAGCTAGACGTCATGAATTCCCAAATTGGAGTTTTCAAAATATAGGAAACAAGCCCCTTTTTCCTTGAGAAATTTCAAAGCAGTACATTTCCAACTACCTTTATTACAGCCAAGAATTATGCAGTGTTTTTAAGAGATAGCATCATTCTCTTCATTCAAGACAGGCAAGTGCTTCATGACGTAACACTTTTGCAAGGTGTGCCACCTCTATATAAGTCCAGCACAGAACACACTACGAACAACATTTAACGACAACTATGTCCTCAATGAACCCTTACCGCACGAATGTATATCGAGCTTGTCATATCTTCGGCCTTGTGACGTTTAGTTATAGGGATGTTTGAAGCCACAAGTGTAGATCAGCCCACGTTATTGGTTAGATTGGAAGACTTTATTCGCTATTTTCTGACAGAAATTACAACTGAGCCTTCTTCTATGTCAGACATTGTTATACGATGTCTGATGGTAATTCTTATGAATAACAACAGATGCAGATATTATATAACATCATATGTGTGTGTCCGTAACAAATATTATATAACAGCATGTCTTTTCGAATTATTGCATGTTTACTTTTCTGTGTTCCCTTGACGGTTTGTAAAAATATTTTTCACTCTTAGTAATCGACAGGCTGCCGACATTTTATGATATTTTATATCTAAAAATAATGTCTTACAAATGATATCCTGTTATTTTAAACTTTGAATAATCTCCAGAATAGCTGGTCTAAACAACATTTTTAACTTTTATAATGTTCTATATTAACATAATGCAAAAGTTGGAAATACGTTCTTTCTAGCACCATATTCTAACACCTTGAAATGAAACTAAACTCTATGTCATTAGTGCAATATTTACAAATATCTGAAGGAAGTTCGACGTGGTTCTGAATGAAAGCCAAACTCCTAGTAAAGTAGATAAAATGATAAGTAAATACCCTAATTTCTACGAAACCCGTTTCACATTATGTTATGGTGTATGCTGGGACAGTAAACTTCTATCCTATAAAGTTTACATGCATTTAATTGAGCCGCTTTGCATGGAGCGGCATGTGCCTCCTTATGTGGGAATGAAATAAAGCATAGTACAATCTTCGAGTCTAAGCAAAAGCAGAAAATTTGCGCACTTAATCTCATGAATCCTATTTATATATGTTAAACAAAATAAAATATTTCAGTCAAAAATTTTTACTTTTGATCATTAAATTAATTCACGTTTTTCATTTTTAGATAATTATCTTCAGTGTGTACACGTAAGAGCAATTACCTTGCATCGATAAATGTATAATATGTCTGCTGAAAATACAAATTACAATCTAAATCAATCCATTTTATTTTTAAAACTACGTCTATAGTAAGCAAAAATATCAGCTTATTTTATCACACATTTTTTTTTTTTTTAATGCAGCTAATAATTAGGGATTTGAAATTCTCATTTTTATAAGAATCCAATTATTTCGTGAATTTGCAGCGAAAATTAGTTATTGTAACTTTTATTCGTTTCTTATTAGATGAGTAATAAATAGTAAAGCAGAAATTGTTAATTCACATTTAAACGATGTCAATATGGCTCTTCAAATTCTTATTTTATTCGTATTTTGCCCCCTTACAAAGCAATTCATGATTAATCATACATAAATCCGTTGCTTTAATTTTTCAAAGTATTTAATTTATTTTTCTAAGTAGATAATATTTTTATTAATGATACAAAAATGTTTTTTTTTTTAATAATTTCAAAAATTTTAATGAAACTCTCTCATACCATGTTTTGTAACTTACGTAGTAGAAGATGCCTAATTGTACCCCAAACACGGTATTTTATCATTTTTCAGATAATTTAGAAAACGTTGACAATGTTACATAAGTCTGTTTTGAAGACAATTTTAAAATCATCCTTTATTTATTATTATTACTTATTATTATACATTTATCGATGCAAGGTAGAACTCTTACGTGTACATACTGAAGATAATTATCTAAAAATGAAAAACGTGAATTAATTTAATGATCAAAAGTGAACATTTTTGACTGAAATATTTTATTTTGTTTAACATATATAAATAGGATTCATGAGATTAAGTGCGCAAATTTTCTGCTTTTGCTTAGACTCGAAGATTTTACTATGCTTTATTTCATTCCTACATAAGGAGGCACATGCCGCTCCATGCAAAGCGGCTCAATTAAATGCATGTAAACTTTATAGGATAGAAGTCCCAGCATAAACCATAACATAATGTGAAATTGATTTCGTAGAAATTAGAGTATTTACTTATCATTTTATCTACTTTACTAGGAGTTTGGCTTTCATTCAGAACCACATCGAACTTCCTTCAGATATTTGTAAATATTGCACTAATATAATACGTTCGCTGCCAACTACGAGTATATAATACGAGTATATAATACGAGTATACAACTACGAGTATATAATACTTAATATAATACGTTCTCTGCCAACTACGAGTTATCTCATAGGTCGAAATTTCCGTTTAGGCGTCAGATAGGAGTTAATTCGTATAACGTTTTTGTTTTACCTACTCCACATACGATTAAACTCGTAGTTCAGGTTCTTTGAAGGTATCTGGCTTTGAGAATTAGAAAAAAAAATATACAGCACCTTGGCGCAATTCCAGAGATTTATTATAATTAATATAAGTAATTATAAAGTAAATAACATAAGAGCTGTAAAAATAATCAAGCCATTTAAATAATCTTTGTTATAATAATTCTTGTAAAAATAATCTATCTTTGTTATAAGGCAACCGACAACTACGAATATACTCGTTACGAGTGATATGCTCGTAGTTGGCGCTGTCATAAAATATTTTTCGCAAAAACCGACTAAGATTTACTCGTGTAATCAAATTAAAGCAATATTTTTCTAAATTCAATATCTTTCCTATAAATACTTGTTTTGTAATTTTATTTTACAATTAATTAATTAAAATTTGTTGGCACAATAGAACTGTTTTTGAAAATCTTCCTCGGCAGCGAGCGTGATAACAAGAACAAAATGAGCAAACAGTTTCTATGACAATGCATATATTTTCAAGCTCTTCATTTAGTTATTCCACTATTAATTAATTAAAGAGTTTTGATTAAGTCTATTTAATGCTAATATGATAATTCAATTTTAAATAGTCTTCGAATGTGGCATTTTAAATGAGGTAATGTACATGCTAATTGCAATTTACATTATTTCTCTTTAATTTTCATTTAGTTTTATTTTTAATAAATGTTAACCGCATTAGATGTCGAAAGATGTCAATTCTTCTAGTATTTGTGCTTCATTTACGAATTCTTCGCTAACTATTTTTGCCTGTTGCATGAAAATGAAAAGGTTCTTGTCTGTTCTAGTTTTTGAAAATTGTTTCTTTATTAATTTTTTTAAATGGTGTTTTGTGATGTGTTCTAGGTGGGAGAAAGACGGAGAGCTATTAGCAACAACATCTAGTGAAAATTATACAACAGATGTTCTTGGCGTCGGTAGTAAAGGGAATTACACATGCGCCGCTCTCAACAATGTAGGAATTGGACCCAAATCTACGAATTATCTTCCAGTTTACGGTAAGTGTGTTTACAGCTAAAAATCTAGTTATATAAATAAATTAATAATGTAAGCTAGTGATTAATTTTAGCTTCTAAATAGTTTTTAATTCCTTGTACGAAGTAAAGGAAGTATTGTAATCGCGAAAAATAGCAGGTATCATATTTCAACGAAAATATTCATTTTGACCGCTATAACGCACAATTTAACGACGTTTTTGCATAAAGTCTCTATGTAAGGAAAGAATAAAAGACTCTTTTTCCCCAAAAGGATTACAAAATGGATTTAAAATGGATTCAGAAGACATTTTTTTCGGGATGTCTGTAAGTGCGTATGTATGTATCTCGCACAAAAATGAGTAGTCTCAGAACATTGAAATTTTTCATAGAGGACTGCTATAACATGTAGTTGTGCAACTCCCTTTTAGGTTGCAATCGCCGTACCAAAAGTATATATATATATATATATATATACCCACTTTGTTACTCGGCGTGGTGAGCTTAGGTTTTTTTTTTTTTTTTTTTTTTTTTTTTTTTTCCCAATCTTAGATGTTGGTAAATTGTGCATTTTTCCCCTTTAAAAATGACTAAATAATGTTGTTCTTGCGTTCCGGTTAAGTTTTTGACGCTTTTAATTAGTCTGCATGCAATAGTTGCAGAACTATTAATGATCTAAAAGTTGTTGTTCAAGTACAGCTAAGTCTAACTTAGCAGCCATATTTGTTTACATTTGAAACTTAGCAGAATGGTGATTTAGTCAGTTTCTGCACCTGCAGTGTCTTTTTGCCTAGTGAGACCAAAAGTAAACTTTTTGTGCACCGAAAAATCTGCCTTCCTTCCAGCTGGCTGAATTACGTAGAAACTCTAATTTTAATTGTAAAAAGTACTTTTTAATTGTTTTAACTGTAATTGGTGTTTTATGTTTTTCTATATTTTTCAATTTTTAGAGAAGATATTTTGAGTTTTTATGTATAGTATTTGCCTTGCCTTGAAGTAAAACCTGAATTATTTGAATGAAAAATATATATCTAATGAAATTCGAGGAAAAAGGTTTAAATGAAATACAGCAAAAAATGCGTATAATTTTATAGGCCGTACAAGGAAGTTATGTGGTGTTCGTATCAGATTTTTTTAAATCTGAATTAATAGATTAATGAACTTAGTTAGTATTTATACCTTTTATACACACAGAAGAGTGTATGTCTATATTTCCTATTCTATTGTGCAGATTGGCGAAATTTAATATGCATTTTTCATGTCTCGAAAACGAGACTGAGATTTATATACAGAATTTATATTTATATACATAATTCTTCGAACATAACTATTTTGACCCCAAATCGGAATTTCACGGAAATGGCATACCTATTTTTTCCATATTTCAATTCTGTGACTTATGTCAAAGTGCTAAGTTTTGTAAAAGTCGCACGAATAGTTTTTAAAAAATTAGCTCTCAAAGGTTTAGCTCCTTAATGTTGATTGAATATTGTATATATTTATCAATATCTCTTTTTTTATTCAACTTTCATGATTCTTTCTTTCGTAATTCGAAATTTAGTTTCAATCCAAATACAATTCGCAGTTGTTTTCTGATTTGTTTTTAAATTTGTATGTTTTAGTAATTTTTATAAATTTTTCAAAAAAAGGTTTGAACTGTGATCTATAAAAGTATCTTTATAGGCCATTTTTATAGATTATTAGAAAGTATTTTTATTAACACACCAATTTGGCTGACTGGCTGACTGGCAATACAAACTGACAAGGCGGTTACACAAAGACAAGAAGCTGCGAATACAAGAATAATCGAAAATAAAATTTTCGCTGCCTGTGGGAAAGTAAGATCAAATGCTTAGCTCAAACTAAAATGTAAAGATATAAAGTTACGGTCGCCTAAATAAGCTTTGACTCCGGCCTTTCTGTTTTTACGAAGTAATTACGGCTAATGAAGCTAAAGCCGATTTACAAATTTAAATAAGTAGCAGGGAATTGGCGCAAAGTCATTGCACCATATTTAAGAGCAGATTTCTGGTAAATTAATTAAAGCAAAACGTTATTTAATTCAAATATTTTGGCGAGACTTCTTGAGCTAACCGGAAATCCGCGGACAGAGATGACTGCCAAAGGTGTTTTAGCGAATTCAAGAATTCTACACTTAAATGCATTAATTAATTTCCATCCTGGTGGGAGCTGACGAAAGTAAAAATAAAAATAAATACAAAGTATTAATAGGTAGTTAATCAACATTAACCCTACAACTATTTATCTAAGCAAATGGTATAAGTCACTTAAAAATTTTAATTAAAGGTATACACATATATAGATACGTGTGTACATATCTTATCCTCAATTAAAAGTAAATGAAGAGATTCGAGGAACCATTACCCGTTATAAACACAGTCTAGAGATAAATTTTAGCTTAAATTAAAATTAATTTCAAATTTGGCTTAAATAAATGCAAATAGTTCAGAGATTTTGGTATCGTTGCAAACACAAATGTTATTCTAATGATTAATGCAAAGATTTAATAATCACCAGAATATAAAGCAAATGATTAAATGTCATAAAGTAAAAAATGCAAAATTGACAAAACAGTAAAAACTGACGACAAAATTATTTGAAAATAGAAATTACCTATTATACCTAATCTTAAGGCATCGTATGATATAATAGATCATTATGTGTTTCCCAAATCCTGTTGTTATTCAAGCGAGAAAATGACCGCAAGACAATGAAGATAAACAGAATCATTTTTACGCTTTATCAGTTTGAAATAGGAAGTCTTTCTAAACAATCTTGATTGTAACTTTTGAAATTTGGATTAGCGCCCAACAAGACATGTAGAACGCCCAATGCAAACAATTCCAAGAAAAGGCCACTCTTTGAAATATTTCACTATTTACATATGCTTTATTTTGGTAAGAATCGAAACCTAAATGGTCTGAAGAAGTTTTGAAAACTGAAAGGTTTATGTGTAAGTGTAATTAACAATGCACAAATTCTAACTCTCGTTATAAGCTGACATGTCCCCTTAAATGATGAAACATAAAGAAGATTAAGCTAATATATACAGGTAGCTTAATTATAATATAAATTTTTAAAAAGGGGCATGAGATATAAGAAACAGACTGTCTTGTTATCGAAGGGAGACTTTATTCCAGCAAATTATTTATGAAAAAGCCAAAGGAAATAAACTATACATTTTACTGCAGTAATTTTACTATTAAACTTAATTTAAAAATGAGAAAATTGAAATAAATAAGTAAGAAGTTATGATAAAATAAATAAATAAGGAGCGATGATATAAAAGTAAGGTTTATTTCTAAAATAATGCCCAATTCGATTTTTCAAATACTACTAAAGCGTAAATTTTAGACACAGTAATTTTACTATTAATTTAAATTTAAATGCAATGAATAAGATAATAAATAAGAAGTGATGATTGAGAGCAAGGTTTATATCTAAAATACGTTGACTAAAATACTAGTTGATTTTTAAACAGCATGATATATTGATGAAAACCTTTAAACTTTGCTATATGTTTTAATGCACCTTCTGTAAACCAAAACAGTTATTTAAAATATCTCTAAAAAGTCATTAGAGTAGATTTCTGAACAATACGAAAGTAACATACTATAAAGTAATGAAAAACTCTGAATTTTTTTAAAAATACAATATTCATTTTTAAGCTTCTTTTATAAAACTAATGCTACTTAGAATAGCGATATCAAAAGAATGGAAATCAGAAAATAGCACTTTTTTTTTTAAATTATACATTTCCGATAATTTAAGTAGGGGGAAAAGACTTTTCGCATATTTGCAGCTCTGTGAAAGATTCTACTATCAGCATCTGCGTAATCTCTGTATCACATTAGGCACAGAACTTCCTTCAATTACATTATCTTTTCACTACGACGATCATTTCTTTCCAACAATTAAATATTTTTATGCTTGATTACTTTTTCTTCTTAAATAACTAGTGCAAAAAAGGAAACTAATTAAATCAAGTTTGTTTCTGCATACTTTGCAAAAAAGAATAAATTTATTCGCCTGGCATATTTTTGCTGTTACTGAATTTTATATAGAAATCGCAATTAAAAAAACTGCAGGCAACATTTCAAGTGCATCTTGGCATTATGCTTCTTAAAATTTTCGTGTTTACTTTTAAACCAATAGAAGTTTTGACTGAAAAGTAAGTCTGATGTTTTCTTTATTATTTATTTACATTATAAATTTAAAACAGGTTTTTGTCCCTTGAATTTAATGCGCAAGTGAACAAAAATTATGTTCATGTAATAAAAGTTTTATTTCTTTTCTTACAAGGTAATTTTTCTTATGGTAAATTTATTGTTGATCATACTAAGACATTTTATAGAATGAAAACTCGGAAGATATCTGCTGCTTATGAAATAACTTAACGAAACAGCATTAAAGCATATACAAAAATTATATCCATACATCAGGAAAGTCTTGTTGCTCGCGAACGGGTTCGTAACAGATTGAATGCACAAGTCTGATGAAAAGGTAATAAAATTTATTCTTATCACAAGAAATGTAACAAAAGGCTAAAATTTTCCCTCACAGATATTCACAGATATTCGAAAAAAATCCAGAAAGGATTAAGCATAATTTAAATAATAAATGAAGGCGTTATCTTTGTTGTTGCGAAGCTAAGTTTGTCTAGATTGGCAACAAATCCACTAGTCTGCTGTTTCAAATGTAACAAGCAATGGCCGCCATCAAAAAAACTTATTAGGCTTAGTGGCACTTAAAACACTTTAAATTGTTGATAATTCTAAAAATTGTATACAAATTTACTAAAGGCATAAAAGCCTTAGCCTGAAGATAAGAACAACATAATTCAATCATTTTTAAATAAAAAAATGCACAATTTGCAAACATATAAGAATAAAGAACCTGAGCTCACTGAGCCGGGTAACAGAGTGGATATATATATAAATATATTTATATACGTTTGGTGTGGCCGATTGCAATCAAAGTACGAGATGAACATCTACATGTTA